TTCTCATAGAATTATTATAAACTATGAATCTATTAATTTATACTTTCATCTGCTGGGACACAACACAAAAAAGCACATTTTGATTTTATAAAACATAAATCAGAGGCTTATTTATGAGCTCAGCAGGTAGGATCATATCACTGTTGTAAGCAGTAGCGGTTTTAGATACGGGCAACACGGGCGGTTGCCCGGGGCGGCATTGTGGTGGGGGGCGGCATAAAAAAATAAAAAAATAAAATTAAAAGAGGCAGAGGGAGTCTTCGCCCAGGGCGCCAAACAGGCTAGGACCGCCACTGGTTGTAAGGTTTGTAGAACAATAAAATAGTTTTAACCTTCAGCCAACAGGATGAAAAGGGAAAATATAAGGATGCTTATAACAAACTTATTGATGCTCATCTGGGAAAGACAGAGATTTCAGATCATCTTGTTGTCTGTGCTCTGAGCTCAGCGGCATCCTGCAGAGATCTGGTGGCAGTTTTAACCTGCGGATCTCTTAGGTTGACCATAACCTGCTCTTCAGCCCTTAACCCTGCTTTGTACTGTAGATCTGAAGACATTACACCTTTACTATCACCTCACAGGTTCTGGGTTTGAATCTCCTGGTTGGCCGTGTGCAGCTTTTACACTGGACTGGTGACCTGTTTAGTTTGTAGAGCTCTATCCTGTGTGAGCTTAAGTTGGATCGAGTGTTTGGGAAGTGTGTGGAGGGAATATTTTATAACCAAACCAAAAATGTTTTTTGCACTTAGGTTTTTGTACAGATTAAACAAATATTCATACAAGTTTTCAACAAGTGTGACTAGTGTGAGCAGGTAGATTTGGTACTTTGGACCAGTGTTGGGTGTAATGCGTTACTAAGTAACTAAGTTATTAAGTAACTAAGTTACTAAGTAACGCGTTACTGTAATTAAATTACTTTTCCACTGAAAAAGTAGAGTAACTAAATACATTTTTAGGTATTTTAATTACAGTTACTTACATTGTACTTGCGTTACCTTGTAAAATAATTAAACTCGCTGAATATCATTATTTAATTTCAATCATTTATCTTCTAAACGTAGAAGTAAACTCTGCCGCTTTAACATCGCTGTAGTGCAGCTGCACGTCATTTCACGCCAGTTTGCAGCACAGTCGTCTTCTAAAGCGGAAGCTGTCGGACTCGGCTGAAGCGAGTGGCTGTTTTTATGAAATGGACATACTCTTCACTTTTCTGAAACAAGCAGACAAGAACATTACAGTAATATGTAAAACTATTGGCCGCTGTTAATAGCAGGAGTAATCTACTGAAGCGCCTGACACGAGAGCATAGACGAACACTTCTGAGTGATCCTTGTTCATCATCCATCACCGCGGCAACTCCTGCTGAGCAGCAAAACGTGATTTTACTTCAGCAGCACAGAAAGCGTCTGAAGGTGAGCTTAAAAAAATAATCGCAGGCTACATTGTGGAAGAGATGCTACCACTGCGTACTGTAGAGTCTCTGTCTTTAAAAAAATATATTTATTATTTAAAGAGTTTAATTTCTATTGTTTGTCCACTCAAGGTTTATATGAATTTTAAGAAGTATTTAGTTAAATACTTATGTAGTAATTAAGTTACTTTTCCGACACAGTAATTAGATAAGTATTTTAAATACAATATTGATTAAGTAATTAGTAATTAGTAATTAATTACTTTTTTTAAAGTAACTTACCCAACACTGCTTTGGACAGAGCTAGGCGAGCTGCTTTCCTCTGATTCCACTATCAGAGATAAACATTAACAGACTGCAGATAATTTACTGCTGATGTGAACTGTCCCAGTAAGAGAGGCAGCAGGAGGAGTTACAGCATGTTTAGTCTCATAAAATCATTTCTCTAATAAGAAGTGCGCACACTTACTGCATTTAAAGCATGAGCCCCACATACCATACAGATAAATGGACATAAATACACAACAGGGACAAGTGGGTGGTGCATGGTATGCTTATGTCTCTTCATAAAACAGCATTAAATAAGTTTCATTCAGATAAAGGTAGGATTGGTGAAACAGGACGTTTAGAAATTCTTTGGATACTGCTCCCGTGTATTTACAAACAAGCGGATGATCAGTGAGATTATCACTGAAGGGTTTTTTGGGGAACAGAAAAAAGTCACCAGCTGCTGCTGACAAATCTCCAGTTCCTGAATGATTAGTGTTCATGTTCTTAGGAAAATAAATCAAAGGAAACGACTTCAAATTTTATAAGTTGTTAAATGTTTTTTCTGCCTCAAAGAAACAGTCGACTCATAAAGATATAAATATTTAAAAAAAGGATAATCAAAGCTACACACAGTAAATTAATAATGGACAAGCTGACATATCGATAAGGGAAATGCATTTATTGGTATCACATCACCCAGACTGTCCTGTAATGAAAAATGATGACAAATGATAAGTTAAAAGAATATGTCAATAACATTTCAAAAGTAAATAGTAAAAAAACAGGATTGTGTCAACAGTGAAGTGACACAATCCTGAATCAGAATGTCTGTCATCGTCACAGGTACAATGAAATTAGAATCTGTCTCCGATCAGTGCATCATCCATAAAAATCGAAAAGTTTTAATAAAATCAATAAATAAAATAATTAAAGTGCTACTAAGAATAATCTAGCTGTATAAACAAACATTCCCACACACATGACTCAGTGCATAGACTGAAAACACAGCTGGTCTGGGTGGTTTTTGTACACATTGAATGTTTGAACCTTTGTGGAGCACTTTTTGTTCCTGAAAGAAAACCACACTGATCACTGTCTGCAACTACTGCTCCAGTACTACCAGTGATATAACGATTTCCTGTGTGGTTCAGTGGCGCATTTGAGTAATCTCAGTATCTTAAAATGTGCTCCTGTGACTGGCCGGCACATTATTGAGTGGGTGGGAGGTATCGTCCATCATTCTCCTTATCTTGGACATCATCTTCCTCTCCGACACACCAGAATCCCAGTAGACTGCTAAAATATACGACAAGTTTAATAAATTAAAAAACCTGGGTCAAAAACCCAGGATCATGACAACCAGGGGGCAAAAGCAGGCTCAGGGAGGGGCGGGTTGGTTGGGAGGGAGACAGGACAAAGACACACTGTGGAAGAGAGCCAGAGATTAATAATATTAATAATAACTAATGATTAAATACAGAGAGGTGAGTGATTAAGAAGAAATCCCCAGTGCACCATGGGAAGCCCCCCAGCAGCCTAGACTAATTACAACATAACTGAGGCAGGGTTCAGGGTCACCTGATCCAGGCCTGACTTTATTAAAGGAGAAGAATCCTGCAAGAACATTTGTCCTAAAGGGAACAAGACTGAGGAGCCAGAAATCTCTGACATGAGCCTGCTGAAGGGGGCCGAGCTTGGGCCAGACTCATTATTAGTGTCAGGAAAAAGGTCAAAGGTCAGATGAAAACAGTCTTTTGTTGAGCAAATTTGACTTCCTCTGCTGCCACCTACTGGCTCATATCATTTTGTGACTCGTTTATTTTTATGGAGTGCACATACTGGCCACTTTATTAGGTACGCCTTGGTGTCTTAATCCTTCATAGACTCAGCACGGTGCTCGACAACATTCCTCGGAGGTTTTCATCCATATAGAGATGATAGCATCACACAGCTGCTGTACATTGATGATGTGAATCCAACACATCCCTAAAGGGCTCCACTGAATTTTCAAGGGCTTGATTTGGCACAGATGTTAGAACTGCATTTATGACACAGAGTGTAATAGTTTTATATTCTTAGACTGAAAATGAATCTTAGAAATAAGCAGCAGTTTATTATTGACATTCTGCTCTAACAACAGAGTGTGAAATGTACAAAGTGATGAGATTCCTCCATTATTTAAACCAGTTTACTGTCCTGTCAGATTCTTACTTCAACTGTGAGCTCTTTAATGTAATTTCAATTAAGTTGTATCTATATAGTGCTGAATCACAACAACATTCACCTCAGGATGTTTTATATTGCAAGGTAAAAAAACCCCAGGGATAACACAGAGAAAACAGCAACAATCAGACAACCTCTATAAAAAAGCATTTTTAGACAGTGGGAAGGAAAAACTCCCTTTTAACAGGAAGTAACCTCCACGAGAACCAGGCTTTGGGAGGGGCGGCCGTCTCTGGTGACTGGCTGGAGGAGAGGGGACGAAGACAGGTAAAAAGACACGCTGTGGAAGAAAGTCAGAGATTAATAATAACTGATAATTAAGTGCAGAGAGTGAATAAGTCACTCTCAATGCATCATGGGAAACCCCGAGCAGCCTGGACCTGTGAAAACAGTTCATTTGAGTCAAAGCTAACGAATATGAGTCTCTTTAAAGGAAAAGTTTGATCTACTGTATCAAATTCAAAGTCATTGAAAAAATGAATATATTGTCTTGATCTTTGTGAGGATTTATGTGAGTACATCTACAGAAAGGCTAAAAGTGTCCCTGCTCTGTTACACTTCAGTGGGTGTTTTCTTTGTGGAAAATGTTGCATGTGCAGTTATTTTTTGATGTGTCCCAGAAGTTTTTATCACCTGAAATCTAAAAGTTTCTTTAATCTGTGTGTTTGTGTTCAGATCCTTCACCAGAGCCAGGGGTCATCTACTCCGCACTGAAGTCAACAATGACGCCTTCCAAACAGCCGATCCAGTCTGACCAGCGATGACGGCTGGCTGCTAAATACAGTCCTGCACACCTCTGTGCAGCACATGTTATTTATTTAATTACATGCTGTGTGTGTTTGCAGTTTTATAGTTGCACTGAAATAAATGACTTGAATGTACAGTTTACGCTGAGGTGGATTTTTTTCTTTTTCCATTTGGCCAATCATTGGAAACATGAAGGCAAATTAACGGACCGGAGCGTGCGCGTCCATGCCTGCAGAGTTCATCTTTGAAAAGAGTCACTGCATGTTATCCAGCTCCACCTACTCCACACATGCTGGGCTGTTTTAGCACATACGCAGAAGTTTGCTTCGGTGATTAAAGAAAACTCTTTCCTGTTTATAATACATGTTTAAAGGAGGTGAGTGCAGCCATCTGAGGTGAAATCTGGAGTACTGGATCCTAGAAGTGGACCAATTTTTGCATATTTTATAATATAGTGTACGCTGTTGAGTGCCAGGAGATTGCCAGGATTCATACATTTTATTACATATTTATACATTTTTATTTTATTATTATAACAGCATATTTTTACTACGTCTTAATGCATGCTCAATCATCCAGGTAAGTAAATCTCCAAAAGTTGATTCTGTTCATCTGGACGTAGCGTTTTGTGGGAGAAACGTTTCGTCACTCATCCAAGTGACTTCTTCAGTCTCAGCTGACTGCAGGTTTCCCCAACCTTATAAACAGTACATTTGCATAATGACTGAAACCAGCCCACTGAAGCAACAATGGGCTTGGAGGTCAGTTCCTTAATCATAATTATGCAAATTCTCATGATCATTGATCAACAACCACTGACCAAAACCCACTGATCAAAGACCACTGATCAATGACTATGAGTACCATTCACAGAGAGTTGGGGAATGGCCACAATCACAACATTGATTGTAACATTGTAAGATGGCGAAAGATGTACCCTTAGGCCCCCTCCTCAATTCAGAGATGGTGATCCTGTATGTGTCAGGAGCATCAGAGCAGTTGAGACGCATTTTTCTAAACACCCGGTCTCTGTGGCTTTTAAACCCCAAAACACGCTGCGCCAAAAATTGGTCCACCCCAAGGATCGGGTCCCCCGACACAAACAGAGTAACATAGTGTACGCTGTTAAGTGCAGGAGGATTGCCAGGATTTATACATCGGGGAAACCAAACAACCTCTGGCGAAGCGGATGGCACAACACAGAAGAGCTACCTCGTCAGGCCAGGACTCTGCAGTCTATTTACACCTACAGGTCAGTGGACACTCTTTCAAGGATGAGGATGTACACATCCTGGACAGGGAGGAACGCTGGTTTGAGGGCGGAGTCAAGGAGGCCATTTACGTGAAAAGGGAAAGACCATCTCTGAATCGAGGAGGGGGCCTAAGGGGACATCTGTCACCATCTTACAATGCTGTGATTGCAGCCATTCCCCAACTCTCTGTGAATGGTACTCATGGCCATTGGTGCATGATTTCCTTTACTTGAATCATGTTCTCCATAAACTGATGTAAATTTATATATATACACATTTTTGTATCAAATGTTAGTTTAAAATCCTCCGTGAACGTTACCTTATACTGGTGGAAGAGTTTTTGTTTCCCAGGAATCATAGGGACTATGTTGTTAGGGGGATTCTGACCCTTGGTTGTAACTTGGTTTATTTTGTTTTTGCAGTCTACTGGGATTCTGATGTTTAGAGAGCCACTGAGTTTTTGTTATTTAAGTTTCTACTTCTTCTACTGTTTTAGTTTAATCAGTTCCCTTTCTTATGCGGCATGTCTTAGTCTTCTCCCTGCGTTCCCTAGTCAGTCTTGTCTCCATGTTTATTTGCCTTTCAAATTCCCCAGTCTTTGTCTCTGGCTTTCTCACCCTCGTTCTGTGTCTTCCTAGTCGTGTCTGTCTCCTTCCTCCTCTTCCCTGTATTTTGTCAGTCTGCTTCTCAGTGTGTGTTCTTGACTTCCTGTTTTATTTTGATAGTCACTTAGCCTGTGTGCATCATGTTCAATTTTGCTTCACCTCTGTTATAGTGAATTTAAGGAATAGTGTTGCTGGTTCATTAATAAATGTGGCCACCAGGGGGCATCAGTTAAAATGCAAATGCTTTATTGAACTGTAGCTTTTGTCCTTGGGCATCTGAACTATTTAAAGGTCCAGGAGAGACAAAGGAGAAAGTTGAGACGGAGGGATGCTTGGGGTTTTTCTAAGTCTCATTGTAGAGTTATATGGTTTACATTTAGGGTTATGGATAGATTTGGATGATATTTTTAATTATAGATATAATATATACATGTTTATACGGTTAATGGTCTTTTGCCTATAAAATGCCTACAATGATAACTGCTGACAGTTATTCATCACAATGTTTCAGCAATATATCTAATCATTTGTTTTCTGCATATTGAAAACATGTGATGCTGTTTGTCCGTGTAACGCAATTTTAGAAATCTCGTTTTTCTTGGAGGTGTTATCTACAAACAAATTATTATGGAGGTGAGTGCATCACAACAAAGACCAGAGAGGGTCACTGCTGAAATCTCAATTGATAAAGAATCCAGAATGATGAGCGGCTGAGACCAACTTCAGTTTCTGATTGTATTGTAGTTTTCCAAATACAAATTATTTCATTTAAGAAATCAGAAATGTAATTAAACCTGTATTTAAAAAAGTCTATCCGGTATAAGATGAAAATTATGGAGAAAAAAAGGCAAAAAGGATGATCAGGAGAAATTAGGGTGGATACATATTTTGTTGCAGGATTGTAGGGAATAATAGAGACCAGCAGGCTTTCCCTTACCTGCGAGCAGTAGCAGCAGCTGGAAAGACGTTTTAGCTTCACATGAGTTTGTGGACAATCCAGACGTAATCCTTTAGTTGCAATTTGTGTCACTGATCCTTCTACAGCAAAAAATGTATTTACTAGCTGCATGTTGGTTATGGTATCACATTGTACTATTGAATAATGCCAAATGTCACAATTAAAAGATGTACTGGGTTAAACCCAGCATCGCTTCTCTGACAGCAGCAGAAGTTGAACGACATGATTTTATAGCAGTCATTTCTGCAATCTGTTCATCCAGACCCACAGGAAGCATCGCTGACTAACTCTAACCTGAGGGTCTTTGTGGATGATTTGGCATCATGCAACCAAGCTCCCAGTTAAAATCAAGTAGAATGTGCAGTGATCGCAGAACATAGGCAAACACATGATTTTTGACAGATTATGGAAAAAGTAGTTTCAGCTGATTTAGCGAAATCCATTACACATCATACTCCCTACATAATTCTATAAACTACTGTTTTTTGAAAATTTGAAGTTTATATTATCTCAAAGATTCTGGTTTTTGTGGCAACCACAGAGCAGATAAAGTGGCAAAATCAGTAGTTGAACAAATATGGAACCAGACCATAGAATGACATGAAAAACACACTAACTTCACCTAACACAGATTTATACTACCCGGTTTGCAACTCAGAGCGAACCTACTCCAGAGGTGAAGTCCTCATATGGCCCAGTGACAAAAGACATCTACCTATTTTTTTTCTTTTCGTCATTCTCCTTTTTATGCGAAGTTGGAACATGGAAAGCTCCATGTGTTAAAAGGGATGGTACAACAAATGCAGCTTACACAAAAAAGGGATTCCAGATTTACTCTAAAATGTTTTGCAGTTTTTCCACAATTTGAGTAACTAACAATTAATGTGCAGGTATTAAAAATCAACAGGCAGTACATCTATGCTTAGATAAGCATCTGTTTGAAAACCTAGGCTGGGTTGGCTCGAATCGTTTAGTATGTTTTTCAGTTATGGTTGGTATTGGTGTGACTTTTCTAATCATTTGCAGACTGTGGTGAGGTTGAGAGTGGAAGCAATGTGAGCTGTTGACAAAAAGGAGAAGAGGTAGTGATGGTTTGTTTGAAGCTCCAGCAAATGTGTCAGAAATAAACAACACAGTGTTTCACACTTCCAACCTATTACAAGATTATGTTGTATATTATTATATACATAGTATAATATGTGTGATTCTGATGTGTGCACAGTAAATGCCAATTGTAAATACCTAAAAACCACTGTTATAGTGTTATTGATGTTGTTATGTCAAACTGATTACAACAGTAAAAATCACAAAAGACTGCACAGATGGAAAAGCGCCCATCTGTCATTCCACGGCAAAACCCAGACAAAAAGTGTCTGATGTATGCTGGCTTTGTGGAAATGCATGGCTGCTTCCAGTTTTACCTCAGATTTGGAAAGGCACTTGTATCAAGGTTAAATGAATACAACAGCAACTATTTGCCACCTCCACTAGACATGGACTTAAAGTATGAAAGCAAATGAATGTCACAAGTGTCATGACATGGCAGAAAGAGTGAAGGGGCTGGTCGCATCCAGCTACTGGCCAATAACCTGCCTCAGTACCACATGGAAGCTCCTGTCATGCATCATAACAGCTAAGATGAACATGCAATATGACTCAATACATGAGCGGGGCACAGAAAGGAATTGGCAGGAATACCACACAAGTGAAACACCAGCTACTGGTAGACAGAGCAGTTGACTGAGAATGTAAGACCAGACTGACCAACCTGTGTGCTGCCTGAACTCAAACACTTTTTTTTAGCTGCTGTGACTCTTTCACAGACTCTTTCAGTCTGGCTGGTCAGTTTGAATAAAATGCAAAATCAGAAAGCAAACCAGTTTCATAGTATTTTGTGAAATAGTCGTGACCCTTCATGTGTTGATACATGTTTCTGTACTTCTGCATCAGTCATGTGTAGTGAATTATGTCCAAATTCACAAAGCAGAAAACCTTCATATAGAAGTGGAGGAAGGGAGGATCAGATAACTTACACATACATTTTTTTTAAATTAGTTTCAGCTGTTATTGATTAGAAATGTATTTCACTTATTTATTCTATATTAATATTTATTTTTGTATACATGGAAAAAGATCATGATTTGTGTTAAAATACAAACTGTTAAGGTTTATTTTCCTGTATGAAAATCCCCCACCTCCCACAAAGCTAGTTTTTGCCCACATGGACATTAAAAAAAAAGATTATAGAATAGACTGTTTTACATTGGTGCTGTAACTGTTGGCTGCAGCCATTTGAATAGGCAAATATATGATAT